CCGGCGCTCCAAGGCCCGCCAGATGGCGCAGCACGCCGCTTAGGTGCACCGCTCGCAGCCGCTGACAGCCGCTCGGCCAGGTCATTGGGCATTGGAGCCGCCAGCCAGCACCATCTGTGTCGTAAACAGTGTCTCACCTTTCAGATATACACATGTGCCATTTGTTGATTATTGTAATAAAAAAAAACACGATGAAAATGCTAGTTTGAATCCTGTGAAACAAGGCGATAGGTGCTAAAATCGCTCGCCTTTTGAAGTCTCGTTCCATATAAAGCTCACGATGACGGGACCATGGGCCCGACTACTGGAAACCGAAGATTTTTGAAAAATGTCCAGATTTTGAAGAAAAAAATTTGAAATTTTTGAAAAAAGAATGGTTTAAAAATATCCAGGTCATGTGTATTTTGAAAGTGTAAAAGATTATATTGATTAATTTATTAATGTATTAGTATCTCGGTATTGTCACTGACGAAGGCACCCTGAGGCCGAAACGTCTGGCTATTTAGAATATTTGCTTTTGTGTTATCATCGAAAGTGAATAAATATCACAAACCGAAGATTGGTAGGGTTTCAGCAGTTATCACATGGCTCGTAAGTAAAATGGATGTGTTTTGACTGTTGAACCAAATTTTTACCTTTAATTTCCGTCTGAGGGATTACATTTTTTTGTTGATGGCACTATAATAACGGGTGATAGTGGATAATCCGCTTGCTCAAATTTGTTCTGGGCGGCGACATTTATAGGCGAGCTGGGGTGGGGCATGTAATAAAATGAATGCCATATGGGGGTAGGAGAAATTAGACAACATCCTGTGTGACTCCACTGTAAAGGCCTGGCTACACTATGCGTTTTCTGCGTGCGTTTTTGCAGGTTTGCGTGTTTTGCGTAATATCGTTCTAGGAAAAAAGTTATAAGCAATATAACTTTTACTTTGGTTATATACAAAAAGCTAATATAACTCTTATGTAACAAAAATTTAAGGTGAAAAACATCACAAGAACGTAATATCGTTCTTTTTTCTAGAACGATATCACGCAAAACACGCAAACACGCAAAAACGCACGAAGAAAACGCATAGTGTAGCCAGGCCTTAACACTCTGGAGAAGACCTCAACGAGCATTATTGCCCCTATAGCCCTGGTTATGCCTAGGCATTGCCTGCAGCCTGTGCCTGCTTGTCTGACCACAATTACGTCTCTGGGCCATGCTCCTAGCTTGAAAATCCTTTTATGGCTCATCTTTAGTGCTTTTGGCAGCCTATACCCTTCACCTTGCCCAGTCTGGCTGACACGTAACGAAATTGATCCGTATTGCACGACAGCTGCAGGCGGTGACTGCAGGAAGCCGATGTTTACGCCAATCGCCGATAGATGGCACGAGGAGTCAGCGCCTGAAGTTAGACTGTGCCGCAGGGCATGATATCGAATGCTCGAGCCAAGTCGATTAAAACCGGAGTAATGCTGTAGTCTGACGAAGGCAAAACTATCGTGTTGTTACGACGAAACGATTAAGAAGCAAACTATCAGCCAAGTGTAAATATGTGAAGAATCACTGAGCTTTTCCTCGACCAAATAAAATCAAAGCCAACAGTTAAATTGAATGCTGTGAGGTTTGATAAAGGCTTGTGGCTGAAAGCTCACCGTATTCAATATAACTTTTGGCTTTGACTTAATTTGTTCGAGGAAAGGTCAATGATTCTTCACATATTTATGCTCGCTATGTCACTTTACACCATTAATATTATCTATGTGCTTAATCGGATTGATATGTCTTATCCATTATGCAAGCACATTGAGATATCTTACTGGTATCCGTGAATTAAAAAAGGAAACGTGAACCTCAATATTAAATATGCATTCAAACGATGCGTTTGTCGTCTATAACTACAATGAAAAGCTTTTCTCTCATCACCACCAAATATATTTGCAAGTCACATTGCAAGCCATTGCAAGCCTTCGATTACCCATTTCCTTTAGTAACATGCTCGGTTTATTGAATAGCCACTAACTATGCGCGATTAATGTCGCTGGAATCTATAAGATATGAAGATACGACTATAATTATCAGCTAACTAGCTGTGCTATCACGCTGGAGGTCCGTGAGGGCTCTGTGCCGGACAGAGCGCGTACCGGAACATCCCGGAACAGAAGCAGCCTCCGATGCAGAGGGCGGGGGGCTGGTGCAGCGCGGCTGGACGACACCCGGCCGCCGCCAGCTCCGGGTAGAGCGCACAGGCGTGGCTGGGACACCAGGGCGCCGCGCGGGCGCAGCTGCACGCCGCGCAGTACGGCCGGCCCACACACTGAGCCGGACTGGACGGCGCAGACACCGCCGCCGAACTCTGAACCGTTGGGGTGCCAGCCGAACTGGTACCATTGGAATTCAGAATGCCAAGAAGTGAGGATATGTCGCCTTCGCTCAAGTTCGGAATCGGACTGAGGCTTCGCACTTCTTGCTCGTTTCCGGTTCGCGTGTCACTCGGACCGCTAGAACTCGCACACTTTTCATTCTGAATGCTGGGTGTCGCACATGTGTCATTCTGATTGTTTGGCTGGGCGCTTGCATCATTTTTGTTACATTTCTTCTCACTTACAACAGTTCGGTCACCGGTTTTCACACTTTGCAAATTCATTTCTTCTCCTCCGGATGTTTGAATCTTTTTGTTTTTGTTTTTGGTAGATTGTGCTGGTTTTGGCTTCAACTCGTAGAACGGCCTCCGATCTTTTTTATTCTTCATGGAGCGTGTATACATGCGCGAACCACAACTGGACCATGATCTTAGATTGTATGTTCGCTTTTTAATTGTCGAAGTACTAATTAATGACATGGTTGTTTCCGAAAAACAATGGGAATGTTTGTTTCAACGTTTTCCAACTTCAATGAGTCGGAAGCATCCGTAACTATTGACAAGCAAGACTAGCCACAAATTATTTTATGTTAAATCGAAGGACACCAATATGCTACATTTCTAAACAGCATGGGCTCATTTATGACAAAAACGTATTACTTCTAAAACCTTGATCAAAATACTCGTACAATACAAAAGCATGTCTGCTTTTGGTCTGCTTTGACAATTGTCTTGCAACGATATCCAAAAATATTGTCTGAAAAGCGCGAGAAACAGTCCTCGTGATTAATCGCTCCATGTCCTTCCTTGTTCTTTTCTTTGTCAGACTCAGTTCCCACTTGGTTCCCACAACGAAACCGTAACGTTTATACCATTTATATATCTTTTTTTTAACGGTACAAAATTATGCAGATATAAAAAGGTACACAGAATGCAATATTATTAACTTTGACCTCGACATACTGTAGGTAGGTGTATTTGATTTTCAATTTTGTCTGACGCTGAATCTTAAATCATCGAGCCCAAAGCGGTTCTGAAGAAGACATTCTGCGCTGTGCAATTAATGTACAATACCGTAAGGTGAGGCTATTAACCCTCGCCCGCACATGGGGGGGGTGGGGTGGGGGTTGCCACACCCCCCCCCCAGGTAGTCTTTCTGCTCTGCACTCAACATTTTTAGAGCTAGAAGCCTGATATTTTTCGTATAGCTGCTCCTCTATCCTTTCTTGACGTCCACTGAAAATGTCAAGTTTCTGTGGTTTTTGGTTTCGGAGATATGACTTTGTTTTTCAGGTCATGTTATGACCCAAATGACCAATTCTCAACATCTTGCGTTGGCTATGGGCCTTGTGAGCTTTTGTCACCTTGATTTCGGCCTTTTTTACCAATCTTACCTCCAACCTATCATGAAACATGTTGTTCGACGATGTACAGATGTAAAGGTCAGGATCAAGGTCAACCTAGGTCATCTAAAATAATTGCCTTTTAGGCAAGCTAAATCTTCTTTTCGTGAAGTTTTTTGACTGCATTTTTGGTAAGAGCTTCTCAGATCATGATTTCATGTAATATGGACACATAAACAATCGGTGCACACATCAGTATACACACAGACACACACAGACATACAAACATAGGTATCATTGACCTTGACCTAACTTGACCTGAAATGACCTCAGCAGCAAAAACCTGGTCGGGTATTGTGACAAAGAGGTTCTAGCTGGCTTGGCACCAGAAAACGGCATCGTCATCGGTATATGATAAGCAGCGCAATTGTTATCCAACGGTGACCCAAAACAGCAACATTTTTTAGTTTGACCTGACCTGGAAGGTTAATGACTGACCTGAGAAGGTAAAACTGGGTATCATTGGATTTGTCTCTTCCCAAAGAATCTTTTTGGTCCTTACGGCGAAGCTCTATCTCCAACAGGAACGAAATGGCGCGGGGGGTGGCAACCCCCACCCCCGATGTGCGTTCTAGGATGGGAAAATGGCATGTGCGGGCGAGGGTTAAGACAGTGAAGCTATTGAGACAGTGGGGCCATTTGAGATAGTGGTGATATTTGAGACAGTAGGTGTGTTTAGATCGCCATAAAATGAAAACCGTTTAATATTTTTTTTTTGCATTTTTGCTCAGGCTGGTGTGGAATCGAGCGGTGAATTGCCAGAACAAAAATGACAAAAACATTAAAGTGATTTAATTTTAAATCAGTTTTACATACTGTCTCAAGCCACACTGTTTCAAATAGCCTCCAACTCACGGCGCCTGCAAGCTCTTTTAACTAGATTGCATTTATTCATGTTACGCATTATTTTGATAAAATGGGCGTAACGACAGTAGGTATCTGATCTGACGATCCAAGTCTACCTACTTTATTCCATACATTGGATGATGTCCTGATAAACGATGGTATCGCCATATCGCTTTTTACTTTTTATCACTAAACCGATATAATTAAAGAAACTTTAAAGAAACATTCACAGATCGTTGTGGATCTTATGTTAGATTTGATTGCGGATGGTAGATTTTAGTCGATTTGGCTGTATTTCCCTATTCCGCTCTGTTGCATGTTCACATGTCATTCCTAAATGATCTTTTCGCTCTGCTTTGTTCTCGTATCGTATTACGGGTGCACTGGGGAGACCTAGGCCCCCCGGGCGGGCCGGAGAGGGGTGTGCCGGACCACCCCACCCCACCCCTCCCCACGCCCCGGTCCGCTGTCCATCTGCCGTCTCCGGCCGCTCCCCACGACCGGCACGCGCGGCCGGCGGCGCGGGGCGCGGCGGCGGCAGTTGCGGTCCGGCCGTCGAGCAGAGAGGAGCGATGTCGTCCGCGGCGCTCCGGTGGTTGTGCGTGGCGGTGCTGGTGGCGGCGGTCAGCGGCGCCGCGGCCGACCCACAGCTGCGACAGCTGGTCAAGATGCTGGCTACGCGGCTGGACACTCTGGAGCGGGACCGAGCTGAGGATCGTGAGAGGGTGGCCCGCCTGGAGGGGCGGCTGACCACTGACCCAGGCCGGGTCACTGAGGGCGTGGCTAGGATGCGTGCGGAGCTGCGTCAGCTCTCTGACCACATCCGAACGCAGGCCACCGTCACTGAGAGCCTGCAGGAGATGAGGTCCGAGATAGACGGCATCAGGTGAGCTGGAACTCTAGATATAGACGGTATTGGGGCGGGCGGGTTCGGGTTGGAATGTCGAGCTCTGAGCGTTTATATCAGCCTATCCATGCATGCTTGACAATATGACATGCTATATAAAATAAATATTCTGCCGATGTCGAAATTAATTGCTATATATGTTGGATAGGGTCTGTCAACGTTGTTGTCTGTCAACTAAATTGTCCGTCGATATACTACGTTCATGTCCACCGTCCACCCAAAACAAATCTTCGGTTCGTATTACACAGAGACACAGCTACACATGGCGTGCCTGTTGTGCTTGAGAAGCTTTTGTCGTCGCCACAATTTGCATGTTCTTCGTGTCTTTGGTTTTCACTTGTCTGTGGGTATTATAACTATTTGAGAAGAATGCCACGGAACTCACGGATGTCATTCATTCATATTTCGGATACCGATTATGAATGTCAGTAATTCGAGTCCTTGTCTTCGTTGTCGACAAAGGAGCCCTGCCTTGGCTAGTCCCTCGAAGAGCTTAGGCATATTATCGTTACATGAGACAGGTAGGCATTTGAATGTGGATGCGTTTATCCATCGAATCCTGTGTTATGTACACGTATGTACAGCGCTCCTCTGAGCATATGAGGGAGGGAAACAGCATTCATAAACGTATCGTTAGACGATGCGGCCGCAAATAGGCCTTGGTAAAAAAAAAAAAACTGATGTTACCGTCTCGATTTCATCCTTTGGATACAAATCCGTTTTTTTCAGTCAGCTCAGGTAGCTGCCTCAGAAAGATTGCTAGGATAGCTCGTAAACAAAATCACCCGGAGCTGATCAATGGCTATGTTGGTCCATTTTTAATGCAAACCTAAATCACATGAGGTCGCATGTGGTTATAAATGGATGTATCTACCTGAAGGATATACGATAATGCTGATACGTCCTATCGATTTTATCTAAGTACATAGATGTGTTAGCGGACATGGATAACTCTAAAAATTAGACGGCTACCGCTGCAACCACTCTGACACGCCACAGTTCGGCCAGCCTTTACAGTCGCACACGGCGACGGCGCAAGCGCAACTGCTCTCCAATGACACCAAAAACAACAAATATTTGTCATTATCTCCAGATAAGGACTTCACTGTCTCACTCGACTGAAGGAGATAATCATGGTTCTTACCTGAGCGTGTATTTCACATCCCAAGCGAGCACGCCCGCATTATCATCTTGTGTTTACCTCTTCAGTCTTTGTAAGCTTCCCCGGTCAGCTTATATGTGTGGCCCGACAGTGACGAGATCCGTCGACTGAAGGAGGCCACCGAGAGCTCAGCGGCTCGTGCCGCGCACAGCTCGGACGCCGACAGCTCGCAGCAGACGGTCATCAGCTGGTTGAAGGACATGGTGACCATGCTGAAGGGACAGGTGGCCGACCTGGCCGAGGGCTTCAACGTCACCCAGCTGCTGCAGCTACAGCAGGTCAGTGTAGCTGTATTAGGATGCCGTGCTCTTGCCCGGTGCATAGACCTTACAGAGGTCATCTCTGGTCACATCGTATTTACATGCCTAATAGTTTTTAGGCTGGTACAGCTATTGCATATTCGTACCTTTTCTCGTAATGTTTTGAGGAGCAGCTCGTTTACGATACGGTAGCCGTTCAACGTCCGTAATAGACGCGGACTTCTATTTAGATCGCCGGCTGCATTGAAACTTTTGTCGAACATTTATTATTACCCGTGGGGCCACGCAACAGTCCCTGACCCGCGCCTCTGCCGTCCGTCCCACAGAGTGCCGCGTCGCGCGCGACACTGCTGGAGACCGACGTCCGCTCGCTGGAGGATTCCGTGCAGACGCTGAGGGCCCACCGACGCGCCGACGGCACCCAACTGGGCCAGCTGAAGACGGACCTGACCGAGCTGCTGGCCAAGGCGCAGGACAGGGAGAACACCTACGCCCATCTGATGGACGAGGTAAGTCCCGCCGACCGGCGGTCTGCACGGTGTGGGAAGGGTCTGCTCTGTGGTGTCAGGGCAGGGCCTTTTCTGGGGTGAGAGAGGGAAGGCCGGGGGTCTTCGCTGGGCCGAAAAGCATGGTGTGGGGACGGGTTTATCCTGGTGTGGAACAGGCTCAGGTCGTGGTCTGTCCTGAACCTGATGGACAGGAGGTACGGGTAACTACTACCAACATAGACCACCTGCGCTGCCTATATGCGATTCAGGATGTAGCAATGTAAATATGGTGTGCCTTCATTACACAATGTACACTGCACGGCAAATAGATAGGGCACAGCAGTGGAGCGCCGGTTCCCTTCTAAAGTAAGAGGTGCTGCGCCATCGTTTAACGGCGGTTTTGATGTAACTACACAAGGGACTTTGGCTTGACCCCACGACACTCTCACACTTTTCATGGTGTTTATTTGCTTTTCCCTTTTGGTACCTTCTGTATAATTACAGTTCCGTAAATCACTGTAATACTCGCGAACTTCCCACTATTAACTGTTTCGGCAAGTCTATATTCCCTCTCGCCATTAGCGGAAGGGAACATACGAGTGCCGTTCAAGCATGCATATATGAATATTAAGTTGTCGCTCAAGGTTTCCTCTATATTGTATGTATGATCTTCGGTATATTCATTAACCTAGCATTCACCGGTGGACTCGACTCAGTCCTTACGAGTTACGACACGAACATAAATCAACGCTTGACAACTTCATATAATCACCAAGTTGTCCCCTGACCATAGCATGACGCTGTGCCTTATTTCATGATTTTACAAACATATTTTCAACTAATACGGACATAAATTCAACCGAAGAATACGGTAATAATTCTCCAGATGTGTACACATACAACCGCCAATCAGCTTAGCGCAGGTACCGGGCCTGGTAAGCCCTAGCTCGTCGCCGCTCGTTCCGTTGCGGAAGCGTTGCAGCTCCTGTCGGCCGTGCAGGGTAATTAGCCTCGCCATTGTGTGTGTCGGCCGGCATGGGACGGCACCGGAAACAGGCAAGGATTTTTACGCCGGAGACGGCGCCGAAAGGCCGCTACCAGCCGGGCGTGCAGCCTCACCACTCGGCCGGCCGTCCACGCGCGTCGTCCGGACGGCGGCAGCCGCCCGCCCGTCCGGCCGCTCGGCCACGCGCGTCGGCCGGGCGGTCCGGATGTCCGCCCTTCATGTCGTCCGCCGGGAGTCTGGGAGACAACCTCCGTTTATTGTCTACTGCTCAGCGCCGACCAATGAGCACCGTCCACCAGCTACCGTTCATCGTAAATCCTTCACTATCAACAGCCTGCCGTCCATCGTCGATCGTCTTACCATTCACCGTCCATCGTCATCTTTCCACAGTCCACCGTCCACTTCCCACCGTCCACCGTCCACTTTCCACAGTCCACCGTCCACTTTCCACCGTCCACCGTCGACTGACCGTTGACCGCGTCCACTGATCGCCAACCAGTGTCCGCTATCCACTGTCTACCAAAGCAATGTTCCGTCATTTGCATCCGTTCGGCGATTACCGTCTACTTTCTACATGCCTATTTTGTCATAATGCTACCGTTGCTAAACAATGGGGATACGCTTCGCCTATTTTCGAGTCAAATGTGCCTTATTCTTGCGAAACATCTAAACGGCTGTCACTGCCAGACCGACAGATGATCCTAGCGTGCCGTCATTCCTAATCCCCTACACGCCTTCTGCCGCTGCGCCGTTTGCGGTGGAAATCTCTATCACCTGCTCGGATTTGGGGTCGTCGCAGCGTCAGCAGATGCGGGCAGAGCACATCACCTGCTTGTAAACGTCACCTATCACCTGCCTGTGCCTGTCAATCTCTGATATCACCTGCCGCCCGGTGGTGTCGGAACGCGCGGCCGGAACCCTTGTCTTGTTCTACCCTGTTCTCTTTGTCCTGTCGAAGTTTTATGAGGCTCATTACCGATTAGCAAGATGACTTCAGACACTTTCATTGGTGACCTACTCATCTCCGGTCGGGTTGACAGAATTTGGGAAGGCTGGCTAGTCCTGTCACCGGCGATCGGCCCCAGGGATAGTAGGGACAGTCCCGGGACTGGTAACACCATCTAAGCCCCCAAAAGCGTCTGTCCGGTGACCGGTGACACTCTGAGCCGCTGTCACCGGCGTGCGGCAGCTGCGGTGCGCCGGCCGGCCCTGCTGACCGACTGCGGAGGAGCGGCCGTCAGAGCGGCGCAGCTGCCTCTCCCGTCCAATCAGCGCGCCCGGTCACGGCCGGAGACCGGTCTGCAGGAAAGGCAGCTGCTTGAGACGGCGCGCCGACACAAATCGACGAGATTCCATGCACTGATTGTACGCTACGGAGTACGGACGGCAGAGCTAACTGGAGCACGCCGGTCTCGACTTTTGGATTTGTGTCCAAACTGAGATGCTTGTATGGAACAATTCGTAAAACCGGTAAACTTAGAAGGGTGTTTGCTGCGTAGGCTTTGCAAACACACCGTCCTCCATTTAGGCGTACAACTTTCACTGCCGGCCATAACTCATGGAAGACACCTTCCCCGCCACTGCATGCAGCGAATTGGACGTCACCCTCCTTCACAGAAGGGTCACGGATGTCACATTCTCCAGCACTACGCAGGGAGGGTGGCGAGCTAAGACGTCACGTTTTTCACGGACGTCGCTCTCGGACAATACAGGGGTTGTCGCGGATGCCAGCCCTTTCCGGCCCGGTGTGTACGGGTCACTCTACATACAAGGTGCTCTCCACCCCTCCCTCGCCGTTTCTTCTGTGCGGTCCGGTGGTCAGGTCACTAATGAGGACACTCTGCCGAGGCCAGAGACGAGACTTTTGCAATGGCGAGGACTTGGAGCTCTCCGGTACGGTGCTGATGGGATGTGTCATCTTTCGTGGCCTTGATACCTACCGTGTCACCGAAGTGTGATGGGTGTGTAGCGACCCCAACATGTCACCTGTGAGGCGTGGAATGATTGCCACCCCATGATTGGTCTCTCGTGTGTCGTTGGAATATGTTAGACGGACGATTTGAGTGTATCGTGACCTCGAGTGGGACAAGGTGCCACCCGACCCGTCCCTCTCTGTCCTCTCCAGACCGTGTCACCATGTCCTCCCAACCGAATGACGGGATAGACGACAGCCGACACGGCGCCTCTCGGCTCGACAAAAACCTGGCCTCGCCCCCGGGCCCGGGGAGGCAGCCCCTACCCCTCCGAACTCAGCCCCAGCTCGACTGATGGGTCGGTAATTGGCGCTGTCTGAACGGGAAAACATGGGTCACGGTCCGGCGGCCAGTTTCGGCCTCAGCTGGACAACAGGAACGGCCGCTCGGAAGAGGATATTGGGCCGCTCCTACTGTGCGCGTTAATGACCGTCAGAGTGGCGCACGCCCTCCCCCCTCCCCCTCACCGGCCACCGGCCACCACCCCCTCGCGAGGAAAGGGCGGCTGATGGATGGACGGTGCGTGCTACCTTAGGGAATGAGTATGCTGCCAGTGATCTCATACCGTACTCCAGGTGGTTTGGTCTGTACGACGGTACCTCGGGGAAGAATAGCTCGTAAATACGGGCACACCTCTGAAAGGGGTGTCCCATGCCCCGTACCGCAGTAGCTCTGGATGGACTGCCTACTTCAGGGAAGGGTGGCGGGCGCGTGGTACGCCATCAGCCGGACCGCCGACTCGGCCCCCTGTAGTCGCGGTGCCGCAGACTCACCGCAGTTTCACCGCAGACGGCTGCCGGCCGCCCCATGGCAGATGGGGGCGCGGGGCGGGAGCCGGACCGGCGCCGGCGGGCGGCAGGTGGCCGCCGCCGTCAGCGAGCGATCGCCAAACACCGATAACGCCCGGCCTGGCAGCCCGGCGGCGAGCGGGCCAGGTGAGCCGCCCGGTCCGGTGTCACCCCGCCCTGCAGGCGCTAATTGACAGGGGTCGGACGGTCCTCCCCATCCCGACTGAAACCGGAGAGGAGAGACGGCACGTGTCAGGCGCCGCGTCACGCACGGGACAGTCCGCCGCACCCGCCCCTATCATGACACCAGGGCACGCGCCTGGTGTGGGTGGGGCTACGTTTGTGCAAGATCACCTTTCAGTCCACAGTGTGCAGTGGGTTTCACTGCGTATTTTTTTTTATTGACGGGAGGCTGAAAGTTGCATAAAAATAAGGGAAATTTTAAGTACAACAGTAGCTAGTAACTTCATCAACTTGTTAACGTTTTCAAGGTGTCGTGGCTAATGTATTCGCTGTCGTCCCAAATGTGTTCACTGGTGTTTGGAAATGATCGGTTTCCGGTGGCGCGATAAAATTCTTATTGCTCTTTTGTCAATAGGTAAACGGAGCGTTATATGTATAAAACATCTGTCTTGCATCGATGATCGGACGGTCGCTTATCTTCCAAGCATGAAACACCGCACTGAGGATGTCCCTAGTTTCACCTTCAGACCGGCCACGCAGGACAGACCGTCTTTATCCATCGCTGCTGTTAGCTTCAGTGAAAGCGGGTCGGCTGCAGTGGACATTGGCACTGCCCACAGACAAAACAAATTTATGGGCCTCTAATTGCGACCGTTTATCTTGCTTATCCTGGTGGATTAGATTTGAGTCGGTGGTGATAAATCGCGTGCCTGCATTCATCTCTAACTGGATGGCACGTGGCCTTCGCGAAACACGGGGAGACATTTCGCAGAGTGCTGTCGGCGGCTAAGTGTTATGTGTTTTAGGGCTTCCTTTTCCACGAACTGACTGGAGTGGCTTCATTAAGACGTTCATCTTAAACGTGGCTCACAAATTATGCACATGCGTGGATCATAACAATGTCGTTCGCATGATGGGCGCGGGTCGTTGGGTCTCCGGGAGATTGGTCAATCGGTTAGTGGCGGCGGCGGCCACCTGCCGCTCTGCCGCCGGTCAGCACGCCGCGGCTACATCTGCCGACCGGTCCCGACTGCGGGCAGCCGGTCCGACCTTCCGTCAGTCAGTGGAACA